TAAATCGAAATAATAGATATTCTATCGTATGACAAAATAAATTGAATATTTTTATTAATAGAAAAAAAAAAACAAGAAAATTAATTTTTCAAATTTAGAACATGAACGGAATTGAGAATGATATGTCTTATAATCCACGTGTAATTCATGCACATACAAATGAATTAGCTGCTATGGCACTTAATCATGCAGCTACTTTATTAGCAACTGCATCTAAACGAGTATGTAAAATCAAAATTTTCAACTTTAAAACAAAAAAAAAATCGATTTTTCTCACTTTTTATAAATAGGGAACATTAATACGTGTATTTTCAACAACAGGTTTATGTGAAAAATTATTTGAATTTCGACGTGGATCTGATACAGCTGATATTCATTGTATAACATTCAGTTTTGATTCAAGTTTTTTATGTGTGTCAAGTGATAAAGGTACTGTTCATCTATATGGTATACGTGATCCAAAATTAAATCGTATGGTTGCCATACCTCATGCACTTAATGAAGCATTCGGTGATTTATGTAATTTTAAAGTAGCTATTGAATGGCCATGTATATGTGCATTTTCTGGTCCAAGTCATGTTGTTGCTGCAAGTTTTGATGGTACATTTCATAAACATATATTTACAACAGATGGAAAATGTAATCGTGAAGAATTTGAACTTTATTTAGATGGTATGGATGGATGTGATTTTTAATGTTGATATTTTTTTTTTTTGGTTTCTTTCTTTTTTTCATTGTATATATTTGTGCATATGTATTATATTTTCACTTTTCTTCTTCATGAATATGAGACAAACAGTGCTATATTAAACGAGCAATAAGTAAGAGATTTATTGTATTGATCATAGTGACGATATTAGAAGATTTTTCAATGAATTATATGACATTGTTTGGAAATTTGAACTGATATTTAACTGGTGAATAATTGTAAAATTTCTTCTGATTATGAATGTTAATTCAATGAGAGTCTATTTATCAGCAAAGTATCAGTTCAAAATTTACCAAATATTTCTTACTGTATATTACTTTGATGTATAAAGCAAATCTGAATATTTTTTTTTTCTTAAATAAATACTTTTCATTTAATATTGTTGTTGATAAATGGAATGAACTCAATGTCATAAGTATAGAAGAAAATTGTATTCGTATAGACGAATCAATAGAAATTAAAATTTCAAAAAATTGCAATTGAAAATTCAAATATTGAGAATGTATACAATAGTCTCATTTGAAGAAAAAAGTATCATGTGTCATGAAGAATTTATGTATATATATATATTTAAATGATATTGAAATACAAGTTCGAGCTTTCGATTAATCGATGTTTATCATGTATGACTTTATTTCGTTGGATTATTTTTTATTGTATAAATTATATGTCAGTTTGAACAAATAGCACGTTATCAGTATGGTATAGAGGATGAAATTTTATATCTGTAAATTTACATATATGAGATATTTCATATCATAGAATAAATTATTCATTCTACTATATATTTATTGAGCAGTTCTTCTCTTTTTCAGATTTTTCTTTAGTCTATCTCGTGCGTGAGAGATTCAAAATAGATATCTTTTTTTTAAATTGCTCATAGGTGACCTCTTTCGTTAGTCATTGTTTTAATGTCTATCACCATAGCAAATGATAGGAATGAATTGAAAAAATGGTCGTAAAGAAAAAAAAAAGGTTAATAGAGAGCGTAAAATAACGACATAACAAAGTAAGCAAATAAAGCATCAAGAAAGACGATCATGTCACTATCGGTAACATCATAATCAGAGTGTTCAAATTTCTAATAGTTGTATAGAAAGACATTCAAACAACACATTGATTGGTTATTTATAAGAATCTCTTTTTTGGATATTATTTTTGAAAGTTATATTACAAAAAAATCGTTTGATAATGAAACACATTCCAAGTAATGTTAAAGATAAGTATGAAATACTTGGTATTATTGGTGAAGGTACAGATCTTTTTTTGTTTTGTATACTAATAATTTATTTATTTATAATTTCAAAAAAAAAACAAATAGGTTCATATGGTGTAGTACTCAAAGCTCGAAAAAAAGTACGAAATTTCAATAGATGATAATAATAAGTGTTAATTTCATTTATATTTTAGGATACAAATACAACAGTTGCTATTAAACATTTTAAACAATCTCCAGGTTTAATATTTAATCTAATATTATAATTTTATATTTGAAATCTTTTTATTTGTTCTTTTTATTTTAGGTTATTGTACTGATATGGATATAATTGAACGTGAATTAAAAATTCTTCAATCCCTTCGATTTGTAAATGTTGTTGAATTAATTGAATGGTTTCGTGATAAAAAACAATGTTTTCTTGTATTTGAATATGTTGAATGGAATATGTTACAAGTTTTACAAGAACATCCTGATGGTTTACCATTAGAACAAGTACGTCAATTATCATATCAATTATTTAGTGCTATACATTGGTGTCATACACATGAAATAATTCATCGTGATATCAAACCAGAAAATTTACTTATATCAAAAAATTTTGTATTAAAATTATGTGATTTTGGTTTTGCAAGATTTTGTAATACACAAACATCAGCAGATTATTATACTGATTATGTAAGAAATTTATGTTAAAAAGAAAATTCAGTGTTACTACAAGTTTCTTTTTTTTTCTATCCATTAAAACTCAAGGTTGCAACACGATGGTATCGATCACCAGAATTACTTATCGGGTATGTATGAAGAATTTTGAAAACAAAAAAAAAAAAAAGAACATTTTTAAAGATAATTCGAGTACTTAAAAAAGAAAATTTTGCAATTGTTTCATTTATCTTTCTTTACTTTACTAAAATATTATTAACATTCATGGTCAACAATGACATCATTTAACCTTTGAATCAGGTTCTTCTCCTTTCTTTTTTGCTCTTTCAATTGTTCAAGTTTATTCAAATGTCTCTACTGATAAAGAATATTACTTTGTACTTTTTAAGAGCAAATCAATTTGTAAGAAAAAAAAATTGTACAATACATAACTTGAAACAAATTTCGAGAATTGAAATAACTTCGAAATATTTTTAAAGGTTTCGTATGCATGTACGAAACCTTTAAGTAATATTTCCTTGTTGTATGAGAAGTATTTTCAAGAGTTTAGTATATTAGTACGAAACCTTTAAAAGGATTCTGAGTTCGTTTCAATTCGCGGAACTCTTTTCTTTTCAATTTAGACTATAT